TCAAAACACAATGATGCCAAATGGCTTTAAAATACAACGGAAACAATAACCCGGAAATTTAGGTGGTACCGAGCTTGCAGCGTTCCCTAGTGTAGAAAACACCATCCATAAGGCCCTGATGTCAGACTCGGTTAAAGGCTTTGGCCACATCCACCATCAGGTGCGCTGTTGTTTCTTTTTTGAAGAATCCTTGTGTTTCGTGCTTCCGATAAATCTACCCGATCTATCCAGCGATGAAATAACTTAAATTTACAAGGAATATCTGCGTACACATATTTACAAAAGCAACCATTTTATTTTCATAGAACACATCTGGCACAACATTCTTTCTGTTGCCACTCACACTTTTCATATATACACAGGCTAAAAAATCGTTTTAGTTAATATTTACACTTTAAATGAATGACGTCATCTCATGAGAGTGACGTAACACTCCCACCTTTTGATTATGTGTATTTCAATAATCAAAATAATAAAAAATCTAATATAAATTTAAAATTATGTGTCCAAATATCTTGATGGTATCTTAACAGTTCGGCCACTTCTTGTGGTAACGATGTTTCGTAAGGTACTTGAGAAATTATTATGCTTGTCACCTTTATTTGAAGTTGCGCTTTCGATTGGAGTTGAACCTTCATTTGGTGTCGAACGTATTTCCAGCGGATAAATCCGCTGCACTGGCCTCAAAAACTCGGTATGTGCTGTTTTAAGTCGAGCCACGCGTATCCTTTTATCTTTACCAGGATAGACGGCAATAACTTTAGCCATCGGCCAGTGTAATCTTTTCTTTAAGTCATCTTCGATTAACACAATCTCGCCAACCTTTAGATCATAATAGTTATTCTTCTTGCGCGGTTGAAGGAGTGTCGCTAGGTATTCGCGGCGAAATCTTTTTCTCAACTGTTCTCTTAACGTCTGTTGATANAGCTGCAGCAGAAAATGTGACAGCGCACAATTTTCTTGCTTCTTTTTTGAAACAAAAAACTACTTTAGCTCCAAATGCAAAAGGCATTTGAAAATGGTGCAACGCAAGTGACCACTTTCAGCCTTAATGCGGAGCTGTAAATGTGACATAATTTTCTAATGTAAGTCAACTGGGATTGCTTTGCCAAATTTTAAATTTCAACTAAAACATGCATGCATTCTATTAGTTGGAGAAAGAAAAATAATTTTCATGCTTAGAGTTTGTAGTGATAAAGTATTTTTTTTCTTTCGCTTTTCTGTGAAAATTCGAAAACCTGCTGGGCAAAGTTACTCAGACAGCTGGGGTAACTTTGCCCACCTGATGTTTTCTATAGCATATACAAAATTTGCACAGTAAATTAATTTAAAAAAAAAAAAAGAAAATTTATACGTTGGTATGTTTTATGACTAACAGCAAGAGTATAATTTAAGAAAAATTAGTCACTGGTCCAAAAGACCCGCAATTTAAAAATTAAGAGTCACATTTCTTCTGCTGAATTTAGGGAGCCTCATTTGAATTTTTTTATGGTTAAGGAATGAAGGTTAATGAAGTGAATTTAACTGAAAAATTGCAATACAGAGAATGCGTTATGTTCACTACATTGGTGATGCTATTTTGTGACTAAAACATGAATTTTAAAAAAAAGCATATAATACCTTCACATTTGCTGCTGGGCATCCTCCAAAAAGTGAAATTTCATCACATTTTTTTTTCCTTCATCCTAACTAGTTCATTATTCTAATTGATTTGTTAATAAATAAATTTGATAAATGTGTTAGCGACTGAGAAAGATTGAGATGAAATAGTAAAAAAAAAATAATTGGTCCAGCCATACGCCTCATCAATAAAAACTCTTTTTTTTTTCCCAAGGGGTTAGTTTCTTTTACTCATTTACTGCAACTGCTATACAATTCTGAAAAGGGAGATTTTTGTATGCCAGTCAACAGCAATTTAACAATATTTTTTTTTTTCTTTTTGAAAAATTAAAAAAAATTTTTGACAGAAAATTTGAATTATGTGTTTCAAATAATATTAGCTTTCTTCCATTGCATTGACCTAACCTTTAACATTACCTCCATTAACCTTTTAAAGGCATTTTTTAATAAATCTTATATAAATAAAAGTTCAAAAAACAAATGTGGTAAACTAATATTTTTCTAAAATAAAAACAATATGACATTATTATTCATACAATTAAAATAATTATTACAAATAATTACTTATTTACAATCTAAAACTTATTTAAATTTAATGAATAAAATATATTAACTATTATTTTATATATATTGCCAAAAATCCTTCATAAAATTTAAAAAAATCATAGCTTCTAATAAATATACTATTTTTAAATAAAATAATTCCAATTTGTGATGAATGTATATAAATACATTATAATTGTTGTTGAATCATTATTGTTAAAGGAAATTTTCCTTAGTGTAAATTTAAAATATAATAATGAAGGAATCATAAGACTGAAACAATAAAAAAATATAAACAAATACTTCCATGTTAATAGATGGTATAACAGGGGAATGAAAAACTAGTTAGTATAAAAAAAATATAAAGCAGTTTTGTATTGTAATGTCAATAATAAAAAAAAAAACTATCTCAACCTATCCTTTATAATAATTTAATCTTCAACTTTGATTCTTCCAATTATGGTCCTATAAATCACTTTTTATATTTTAATAGTTTTTTTTATCTTACATTTCTATGTTTTTAGTAGATTATTAAACAAATTTTTTGACTGTAAATTAAAGGAATATCAGTAGTTTAAAAATAAGAGAAAGAAATTTGAAGGAATTATCTATAAACTTTACCGCAACTTAGTTCAGCATCAATGATCTCATTTAGTATCATTTCTTCTATTTTAGTTCGAAAATTTTTCATGTTATTTTAGGGAGTTTTGGGATTTCTTCATTTATTATTATTCTCACAAAATTTTTAAAATCATCTAGCTTGTCTTTCTTTTAACTGAAAAACATAGCAAATAAGTTCAGTAGTAAATTAGTTTTTAAATTTTGATTTCTAATATGAAAGAAGAGCTTCAACGAAGTACTTGAACAGTGCTTAAAAAACGAAAAGTTTCAAGGCATTGTCCTCTTATGTTTGTTTTTTTCTTCTTATTGGCTTAAGAAAGATTGAATCATTTGTCAATCATGAGTATTGAATACGTCATCATTCTTCGTTACGTTATCATCCATATGTTATCATCATTCCTTCTGAAAATGTGAGCTGCCCAGTTTATTCGATTTATTTTAATGAATTTCACAATATCTGGCTCTCTGTAGATTTTATACAGTTCAGTATTATATCGTCTTCTCCAGGATTTATTTTTATCCCACCAAGGATGGCCCTCAAAACTTTTCTCTCAAAAATGGCAATTTTATTTTCACCAGCTTGAGTTAGGTTCCAGGTCTCAGAGCCATAGGTAAGTATTGGCCTAATTAATGTTTTATAGAGTAAAAGTTTTGTATTTTTTGATAAAAGAGATGATTTGAAAAAGCGTTTTAAACCATAAAAAGCCTTATTTGAACAAATTAGACGACTCCGAATCTCATTGTCTATGTTATTGTCAGCAGTAACAATTGAACCAAGGTAAGTAAAATTCTGAACAGTCTGTAACCTGTGGGAACCAATCTCCAGATAGGATTCACTAGAATTTAATTTAGCAAGTACAGGCATGTATTTGGTCTTATCGGTATTGATGATTAGTCCCATATCCCTAGCAGCAAGCTCCAAAGAAAGGAAAGCTTCTTTTAATGCAGGAACAGTTCATGCAATGATGTCTAAATCATCCGCATACACCAGGGATGGGCAAACTTTTTTTGGTCAAGGGCCAAAAATCGAGAAAAAAAAGCTTGGTGGGCCGAGTAAAACCTTCTAAAATAAAAATTCTCACTTCTAAAATAAAATTAAACGCATGGCACTCTACATCAACTCTGCATCTTTTAGTTGCCATTTTGGGGTAAAAAAAGTTACCAATAACTCAAAAAAGCAATAGCCATTTTATGCATTAAATAATTTCACCATTATTTACAATGACATTGTTTGTGTGCAATCTTTCCATACGCAGTAAGTGATGTTAGAACTCGAGCCGGTAGAAAAATCCTCTCGTTGGAGCTTAAAATGTGCTGTCTGCAACATGTGAAGTACAATTCGCCTATATTTGATTCCATGTGTCTGCTCCTCGAAAAAGACAAATGCTCGTTGGAGCCAATTGACGGCTATTCTACAATGAACTTCTGCTTTCAACATTTTACCAATTGAAGCTGTCTGTGTGAAGCTAACTATTTCCATCAATTTATGTTTTGTAGAACAAAAATGGAGAAAGTAAAAAGGTCATCAGTACTTTGATAAAAAAGAAAGAACAAAAATAGCTCTAAACAAAGTAGACAAGAAAATGGATATATAATGTATATTGCTTATATTCGCCACGGATTGGCAAGTTAAATTCTGTCCGCGGGCCGGATGAAACCTTCCGGTGGGCCACAGTTGGCCCACCCCTGGCATACACCAATATTTGAATAGATTTTGAAAATATGTTGCCTCTGATATTGATTTCAGCATCTCTTATAACTTTCTCTAGAGCAACATTAAAAAGGAGACAGGATAAGGAGTCTCCCTGTCTGACTCCACTATTTACTTTAATTTCTTCCGATAAAGATCCCAAAAGTTTGACTCTGCATACGGTGTTTGACATGCTTGCTTCTACAAGTCTAATTAGTTTTGGTGGTACTTGAAACTCAACCAGATTTTCCTATTTAAAATATTCATTTATTTCGTTCAGTTATCTCCATTGAAAAGCGAAATTCGTAGCTGCTGCGATCGTTTAATGAACAAAATCAATTATTGGACGAACTCTTAATTAGTTAAATTTATATAATTTAGCAGATTTGATTGCAAACTTTATTAAATAATGGCGTCGACAAGTATATGATTAGGAATCAATAATAACGTATATTTATATGTTGTATTATATTTATTTTAAACAATATTATCATTAAATATATATAAATATATAAAAATACAAACCTTGTATTAGAAAAACAAGTCCCATGCATCCAGCGTATTCTAGAAAATGAAATTCCAATTTCCATAAAATTCTAAAATCCAAAGCAGAGCAGACGAAAGTAGGATAGATGATGAATGAACCAGATGAACGTGAAATTTCTAACTGTGACGTCATATAGCATTTGAAACTCCTTACGCTGATTTCGCGAATCAGCAATTTTATTGCCGCTTTACCATCACCCATTTGGGTGAGGCACTAGGACAGGACAAAAAGGGGGAGGGAAAAGCAAAGTTTTTTATGGGATTGAAAAAGGAAAATTGAGGAATGCAATTAATAAAAAGTGAGATAAGTGACAAGGGCTTAAAAATAGTAAATAAAAGTTACTATTTTTTAAGATAGTGACTTTTAGTGAGAAAAGTGACTCGCGCCGAGCCCTGATTACATTTAAGTCAAGAATTGAGAGCTTGCTGCAATAAGAATCTAGCTGAAACTTCATGATTCAAAGTTAGTTTTAGCAATCTTTCATTTGAGCAAATTTTTTATAGAGCAAAATGAGTTGCAACTCATATGTATTACAAGAAAAAATTTCTAAACATAAATTTGTTCACAGAATATATGTAATCTTACATAAGCATAATAAGTATAACCAGGTCTTTTCATTCTTTGCGCAACTTTACAGTTTTCCCTTTTTCTATTTTTCACATTACATATCAATACAATTTTTTACTACTCGTACCAATTCATTCTGTCACTGCTAATAGAAACAAAATAGATTCATCATTAAAACTTCTAGTGAAACTTGAAGGTCAATAGTGTGGTTCTGTATTGTAATAAAAGTTACAAATGAGAAAAGGGCATACCCTCATCATGCATTTTTTAGAGTTAAGTAAGCTAAATTCAAGAGTTTTATAGAAATGAAAATTCTAGTTAGATGCTAGAAAAATTGTTGGAATCAGTAGCAAAAACAATACAAGCACAGGAAACAAAGCCATTTGAAAAGTAATTTACTTTATTTTCCTGGATAGTTTAACTTTTACTCGAGGGAATTAGAAAATGGAGAAAGCCTCACACATTCACATATTTGTTTTAAATTTTTTTAGCACAAAAAATCCAAAGAAGCTCAAATATTAAATTCCATTTTTCATATTTTTTAAATTTTTGTCTCTTAAATGTAGGGTAAACTAACCAGTGAAGGAACACTTAAGCTTCGCTTGCCTTTTAAAAAATCATATTAATTTCAAAATTCGTAATTTTAGTTAAATGGCAGTATCAACATATTTGTTACTAATTGCAAATTATGTAAAAAAATTGTAGAGAACTTACATAATATTGTTTTAAAGCTTTGGAGGTTCAAATAACAAGTAGTAAGAAGACCAAGTGAAGGAACAGCTCTTACCAGTGAAGGAACACAAAATTTTCCAGTAAATGAACACTT